GCCCGAAGCCTGAGTACAGCTTTCTGATTCCCTGTGTATGGCCAGGGGAATGGGGCCAGGACTGAGTGTGTTCCCTTAGCAAGTCTGAGAGGCTGTGTACAGACACACAGCAGGCCTGACCTCACTCCTCAGACCCCAGGCAGGACTCTGGCTGGCTCCGGGACTGCAGCCGGGCGGAGCTCCTGTCCACCCAAAGAGAAGGGAAGAAAGAGAGACAAGAGGTGAAAAAGTGGCTGGTTTCAAGGCATATGGCATGCAGTTCTTCAAATGTTTTTAATTCTTAATTTGCACCTCCCGTCATTATCATTACTGTAGCCAATGACACTTCTTTTTGTTGTAACACTTGACATTATTTTACGCCTTTGTTCATCCTTTGACTTGCACAAAGGCGCTTTAATTTTAAAAGAAAAGTTCGTCTGGAACAAGTCCTCTGACTTGCAGACTAAGCTGTCTGGCACCCAGTCCGGTCCAACAGGTGTTTGTTGAATGACTAAATGAATGAAGTGATGCCCTTGAAAAAGTTCAGAGAAATCTTTACTCTCAGCAAAGTTTTTCTCCTCCTTCTTTCTTAAATTCGGATTATTATTTATATTATTTTCTGTGGATTTGAAAAGGAAATCGGCAAGGCTGATTTGATAGTCTTGAAGAAACTCTTAACCAGGACGCTATCTGAAATGGAACGTTCATTTTTCTCTGGATTCGAACACTAGGTTTGAATAACTCGGGCAGTTCCACTCGATGATTGAAACGCAGGGGGACCGGGATCCTTTCCAGGTCCCTCCGGCCATGGAGGAGCCGGGCAGGGTACGGGCGCCGGGCTCTGGTCAGGGACACCACGACGACCCGGGAGATGCTTCTTGCTCCCGCAGGGTCCCTCGGGCCTCGTCGTCGCGAGTGGCCCAGGCGCCGACTTCGGGGCTGGAGGGACCCAGGGCCGGCCGGTCCCCAGGGCGAGCGCGAGGGCCCCGCGCAGGTGTCCGGCCTGTGCGCGGGGTGCTCGGGGGTGCCGGGGCCTGGGAGACCCAGAGACGTTATTGTTACACTGTAACGAGTCTGATTAACATGCTCCCGACACTTTCTCTTAGTTTCTCGGGCTCCTAGCAACAGCGCACAAAGGCGCGGGATTGTCCCGGGCTCCGCGGGGACACGGGGCAGCCTTTGATCTGCCACCGTTACAGCCGGCCTGCGCGACAGGCTCGCGGGCTCCCCCGGCCCCGGCCCCGGCTCCACGAGC